ATTTTTCAATACAGCCCCCCCCCCCCTCTAAAATCAATTCTCTCCTGGAGAACGTCTTCGTGAGCTTCTCATGATTTCAGGATAGTTGAAACCCTCTTGAACATTCAGAAAGAGTGAATATGAAATTCTAATCACGAAAGGTGTTCCCCGAGGGGATACATACCTAGAGTTTGTTTTGTGAAGCACGTCAATTCTCTCCTGGGGAGCGTTTTCGTGAGCCTCTTATGGTTTCAGGATAGTTCAAATCCTATGATGTTCCGTGATGTTCCGATTTAATGCTCACCGATGATCTGAGCCATGGGGCAAGTTTGTTTTCCTAAGAGTCTTTTTGAACATTTCGAGAGCATATGTTTGAACATTTAGAATGCATATGAACATATATTTACGAAAGGTCGCCTCCGAGGGGATAAATCACCATGTCGAACATTCCGTTTTTGTTCTTGCTTCTCGCGTTCTCTTCTCTTCTCGCTGTCCTACCTTTCGTGTCTCCCTCCTCTCAAGTGACACTGTACCGTATACCTTTTTGCCGGTTCCTTAAGCGAAACGTAAGAGGGGAGAAGGCCTGAGGTGGCAGAGACCGGAACCAACCCTCCACTGCTGGCACTCACCGCGGAAGGTCTTGGAAGGACACAGTGATGAGATCTTCTCGTGCGCCTTCAACTACGAAGGCGACACGGTGATCACCGGGTCCAAGGACGGGGGTTGGGTTTCCGAAAGAAGCTTTGAGTTGATTGGAAGAGGAACAAGAAGCTATTAGGAACAAGTGCATCGCTAGTAGTAACAGGTGCCTTACTAGTAGTAACAAGAAGCTATTAGGAACAGAGATATACTAGGTCGGTTTAGAGGACGGTTTTAAAACAAACCGTGAAACGCCGCAACGCCTGCCCCAGAACAGGCAGCCCATAGGCGCACTGTGCATGATTTCTTGATCCGGTCATCCCCTTTTTGTGAGAGTCGCGCATACCCTTGGGACGCCCGCGTCGTCCCTCGCAGCGGCCATCCGGCCATCCGGCCATCCCGGTGGTGGTTTCATGTCAGGACAACACCTGCCGGATCTGGAAAGACAACTTTTTCACTCCAGCCGAGGAAGAGGATCAGTACTCTGGTTGAAGGAAGATGAAGGAAGATGCCCATGGAGGGTCAAGATGGTCCTGGTATTGATGTGAAGACCCTCCCAACAGAAACAGTGCTTGGCAAATTTTCCTGTTTGTCAAGGAGCATGGTCTTCCAGTAGGTAGTTTTGACAAATAGTACATGTTTATAGAGGGTTATTCTGAGGGTGGATTGAGATGTTTTGAAGAGCCCCCAAGTTAGTATTGATCTGTTTTCTCAGATGAATTAAGTAGTTGCATCATGCATTGGACCATCTGGAGCAGCACCAAGACATGTCCATTTGGAACTTCTAGATCAGCTTGAGAGCGGCTTCTTCAAATTGCTCTTGCGATCGGAAAGAGCTTGGCTCTTCAACCGGTTTTCGGACAGGTGATAGATGCGATACTCTCCTCAGTCTTCATTTCCCTCTTTGATACAACCTAGCAAAACTGTGGCGCTTATTTCAATGCGGCTGAAATTGTGATTGATTATCCGGCCCGACCCTGCTGCTGCACCTACAAACCAGTATTTGCCTGTGATCTGACTACAGCCTACAGCCATGTCACGAGCTTGGAGCAGAGGAGAGGTCCTCGTCAACTACAGTTTAGCTACAGCATCAACGGCAATTCAGGGAACCTAAGAGTCTAGCCTTGGATCTTAGATGATCTCAGTGCTCACCAACTGTCCAAGATCTCCAAGCCTCGACCTCTTTGGGGAGTCTTTTCCCTTTTTGATCTTTGTTTCTTTAGTGGCGAGGTATGAAGACTGACCCAGAACCCGGTCGTGGGAGCCTCAGTTGTCCAGGATTCATGAACGAGGGTTCCAATGAGAACTGCAAAAACAGGGGGAGTGGAAGCAATTTGAAGATCCTTGAGTCATTCTATGTCATTCTACTTGAGGTGATGGAGGTTGAAGGAATTCTGGATGTGATTTCTGGGCAACATATTGCATCCCAGCAACATACTGCATACTTTCAAAGCCAGGCATAGGTGGAAACCGAACCTTCCAGGTTTTGCGTCCGGCCAGGTTAGAGCCCGCGGACGCCCAACTGTGTCGCGGGTAGTGAAAATGCACGGCCTGCGCTACGGCAGAGAAGCCCGGTGCGCGGCCAAAGAAAGAAGAACAAACTGCTCCCTGTTTGAACCGAATCGCCTTGTGAAACACTCAATAAACGTCTACAATCCCAGAATCAAGTCAAATTCAACACACAAGTTAAAGCGACTGTGCAGAATGCTTGAGTATGCATGAGTGCTAAGTAGGGGTGCCAGCTGCCTGTATACTCTGAAATGTGTGTTTCATCTAGCTGCCTACGACCTGCACCCACTTGTAGACAGGAGAGCAGCAAGCAAAGAGGAGAATTCGAGTGCAGCCCGTGCATGCTCAAGGGGAGCTCAAGAGTGTGAGAGATCTCTCTCGAATCTGTTTCTAGGGGCAAAGATTGCTGCATGTATGTAATGTTCACAGACACAAACTACACGCAGTACTACAATAGTACTGCGGTACTGGGTGTATTTTAAATTGCATGCTGCTTGGCCTAATTTAGGAGAGCTCGGTGACGCCACGAATCTCGAGATGTTAATGGAAGATTGAATCGATTTGAAGCAGGGTTGGTGGGGACTGTCCTCATTCTGAGACAGTCTGTTCTCTGTAGCATTCCGCACCAGTCATTCTCAAGATTGCCCCTATGAATTCGCTTGAGCTTCTCCTTGAAAGCAGTGAGACGAAGCCCAACCGCTGCCCACCATGCGTGAAAAACTGAGGATCGGAGACGATATGGCAGAGAGAAATGGGCTTGTTTAAAAGTATACACGGATTGAGTAATGAATGATTGTTCTCACTGTCAAAAAGCCATCATTCATTACATTTTGCTGCTCTGGAGCCCTTTAGCTTCTCAAGTGCCCAGGGAAGGCGCTTCTTTTTTCAGTCGCCTGAAGCCTGGTTTCCACCTCAAATGCCAAGTGGGAATTCATTGACCCCCGAAGAGTTGACACAATCATCAGGGCTCGGTCAGACTCGGTCCATCGCGCTTGACTGGGTGTTCGTTTCGTGCGAAAGATGCTAGCAGCATTCTGGCCCAAGAGAGACTCAAGCGAAAGATGCGAAGGCGATCCCCATTCTGCAAGAAACAGCTTTGAGAAGGCCAGTGAAAACGCTTTGCACAGTAACATGTTACATATGACCCTCCTATCGAAAGCAGGAGATTCCAGGCAGTTCCGACGTTGAGACTGCAGGACGCGCTAACTGGCCGTTCCGACGTGTGAGGCAAGCAGAATCTGTTCAGAGGGAGAGCTGGGAGAGTGGGAGTTATTCGTCATTCTTCGTATCACGCGTCAACAGGATTCTTCGGAGAGTTAAGTGAAGGCTCAAAGCTGAAGGCTCATCGACCTGTCCCGTAAACAGTTGACTGAAGGCAGTTGACTGAGGGATGCAAAGGGGTGTATTGGCTTTGCCCCCTTTCCCCATGACAGGGTCAGAGCCGGTGAGTCTTGGCCCCTTCCCTCGTGGTCCACTTGGTTTTTGCCATCTGAGGCCATAATACAGTATATGATGTGTCAAGGAAAGATGAACAACTGCAACTCAGGTCACCTTGGAGCACCAACTGCAACTCTGGTCTTGTGAGCTGCGACTCAGGTCACCTCAGCTATAACATGCCATTCTAGTATGTTATAATCTAGTTCTTTTTTGCTGGTCCGACAGACCCGAAGTCCAGCATGCAAACAGAGACAGTTCGCCAGGTCATGAGCATGAAGCCGGAGGCGTGAGGAGACTGGCTGTTGGGTGATGTTGGGTGATTTGGAGGGAAGCGCTTTTGGATTTGGATGGATGCGATTGATTTGGGGTCGTTCCTGTTTCATCTCTGAAAGATGAAGTGCCAGTTGTCGCACTGAAAAAGTGTGATGTGGGATTCAAAGAACTTACAATCCGCAAAAGCATGCGGAAATCCAGCTCTGGCCAACCTAGTTCTCGCCAATCACACTCATTGAGACTCCTCCAAACTGGAAACTGATTGAAGACCCTCTTTCTGGCTTTGGAACACCACATTTTTTCCATACTTCCTCTGCCAGGCCATCCATCTGAGTTGAATATTTTGAGGATCAACCCTCGGCATCGACCCACGGTCGGCAGGTGGACCATGACCCCACTGCCCGGAGCCACAGTGCCTGTCTCTCTGTCTCTCCGCTGGCAGACGGCCTCCTAGCAGCGATGGCCTCCGGCCTCCACCCTACTAGCGATGGCACCCCAACCTAGCAGCGCTGGCCTCCAACCTGAGAGCGATGGCCTCCAGTTCCGGGAAAGAAGCGGATTTGTTTGCAGCTTTTGGACATGTCGCATCATGTCGCTGTGGAAAAGTTAGAGGAAGGAGAGGAAGCTGTCTAGGAGAAAGCTTCGCCTGGGAAGCAAAGACCCAGGTGTGGGTTTCTTGAGCTTGGATTTAATTTGCATGTGAAATTGCTGGAGATCTAAACCCACATCGGTCACCAAAAGATTATCTCGCGTGATTGCGTGATCTACACTCATGCTCATGTTCGCTCATGTTGAGTGCCTTTTCAATCTTCAGCCCCCGATGTTTCCCAATACCCAGCTGCACACACCAAGAAAGAGAGGTGCAACTCAGTGCTGTTTGCGGGGCTCCTTGAAGGCGTCTTCTCATCGGCTCGTTGTGCTTGGGTTCCTTATGGCTTCTTGCGGAACAGCCCCTGCCAGTTCCGCCTGTTCCCTCTTGCTGCGCCTAGGTCAAGACTTTCACCAACTGGCTGGCGGAAATGAAGGCGTTGTGCGTCAAACACGCGGCTCATGCAGGGGACGTGTCGAATCAGGGTTGCAGAGATTTGCGAAATTTTGCTGTCGGAGAGGATCTCTAGTCTCACCAAATAGGACGTATAGCAAGTACCCAGTCGTGAAGGTCTCCGCACTTGGAGACACAGCCCATTTCCCAGTTTCCTGGGGCCCGTGTCGACCGAAAGACACATCCGTTAAAATGGATATGTCTAGAGAACGCCGGCCATGTCTACACCTGTAATGGCCCCACAGTTCCAAGCCACTCTTTTCGAAGCAATATTGCAACCTATAACTACGTATCAAGCAAGCGCAGAAGCTGCCAATGGGATTTGGCTGCAGTCTCAAAGCAATCTCGCGACCTGATTGCAACGTGGAAGGGGCACGCGCTGCAATGATGACCTTCACCTGCTTTGTAACACCACGCTTAAGGAAGAGGGTGTGCAAGCTTATTGTTGTCGGTGTGAAATCAATCTGACATGACATGTTGATGTTGGATTTTGTTTGGCTTGTTGGCCGCTTCACACCGGATCAACATCAAGAAAGACAGCAACGGCACTCCCGAAACCAATGCTTTGCATGGTCTGTTTCGTTTTGGGAACCTCATGAAACCTGGGACGCGCAGTCGCTGGTCACCGCTGGGCCCTCCCAAGTCAGGTACAGAACCACCGGACGGTGCAGGAGATCCTCTCCGAAACGTTTGACACTCAGACCGCGAAGCTAAACGACAGCGATGATCTCCCACGAATCCTCTGAGAAGTGCAGACGTGAGCAGGGGGATGGGGGTAGAACAGATTGTGGTGGTTGTGGTGGTGGTGGTGGTACCTCTTCGGATGGGCATAGCCACAGAACCGTGATAGTCCAGCTATGGATCGCAGTTTTGCAACCGGAGGCAGAAGGATCTTCTCTCAACACTAGCAGAGAATCGTGTTTGATACCGAACATCGAGGGTGGGTGGTGGACATGGTTGAGAGATCTTGAGAGCAAGGTTTTTGATCTAGCTTTCTTCGATTTCACCAAGCTTTTGGACGACCAATTGCTTCAAGCACGTCACACAGACAGGAGAGGTTTCTTGCAAGTTCTTTTTGAGTGCCCCACAGTTTCATTGCTCTAACTCAAAAGGGAAAACATCGTGGATGGAGCCTCTTTTTGGTTGACACACCCACACACACACAGGTTCGGAGAAGCACACGGACCGCGGGCTTGTTGAGGTCCATTATCAGGGACAGCATCACAGCGAACAACATGGAGCTGACCGACTTCAAACGCCATTCCAGCAGTGCCCTGGATGTGATGTGAAATGCCTGTGAGATATGTGATGTTGAAACCAAACACCCGAAAACCATCCAAAAGCATCCAAGATTTTTGACTGGCAGGCCAGTGTAGACTGTTGATTTTGGTGGGTCAAACACCATCCAAGCTTGTCCCGTTGCATGGAGTTCAAGGAGGACATCCACCAACCGAGCTCCAGGCGTTTTCGGCATCCCAACTTCGTCACCTCCCCGAACGTCTGGTGCGAATTTCGATGGGCCGAGGTATTTCGCAACAGATGCAGTGCGGGGACTCAACCAGCAAGGCTGACTACGTTTACCTTAGGCTTCAGATGCTTCAGATGTCATCCACACTTGTTTGCTTGCTAGATTTGTTTCCCTTAGACACTGGCCGAAGTCATGACGTTCTATAAAAACAATAATTATGTGTTCCCTATGTGGGATGCACAAATCAGGGTTTCTGCAAGAAGAGAGAGGCCGTTATATAAACAAGACTGGGTCTTAAAAGGGGGAAGCCACTACATTAAATCAGTGGTTATTATCAACATTCTGGCCCTTCTGGCAGCAAAAGCCTAACGCAATCTATAAAACAAGCCAGTTTTCATTCTATAAACAAAAGACATGTACAATCATTTATACATCACGCCTATTCATTTTATAGCCACAATTCCTTTATTATGAAACATGCTGCCCCAAAGGCAGTATGTAGTAAGGAGGGTTCACATAGTAAATATATGCAATTCGATGCAACAGACAGAACATTTCTTGAAAGGATCCGTTTTGTTCCCCGATTCCATTGAGTCAAGCATTCTTTGGTTGAAGAGTTCATGTCCTGGAATGTTTGCACGGGTATTTGTGGCAAGGTTTTCCGATGCCGTCCTGGTATCTTTACAAACTTAGCTACATCCACCACCAGAAACAGTGACATCATTCGATTCTACCCTGCACCAGCTCGAATAGAGTAGAGACTTGGACGAGGGGTCAATAAAGCCTCACTGCATTTGACTGAAATACAGAACGACCTGTCGGAACTGTCCCTGTTTGGATCTGTCTTAAAACGAGGGGAGCTGCAACACATTGACAAACCACTGGGCAGGCGGAATTGCTGACTCTACAACGTGAGGGGACCTCCCAGCACTTGGTGGGACCCAAAAAGCATCCTGGAAACAACTGAAACATGACATGAAGACAATCACACACACACACCAAACTCCGAAGGCCCGCATAGGTCTCCCAATCTTCCCCAGCGAGTGCAAAACGCGCTTCTTGCGCCCTTTGGCTGGCACGGACTTACAGGTCACAGCTCACGGACTTACGGGAGAAGCTCACCACGGCATTTGGGGAGATCACTGCCCTTGTGAAGCAAAAGTCTGGTGCCCCAAGATCCGCCCGAGGGAAGGGTCGAGGGATGAAGAGAGGGTGGAAGAAGGGGTTCCGCCGCCGCCCGTCTCATCAGCCTTTCCACGCCGTTTGGGGTGGCGAACGCCGAGACAGGAAATGTTCCGCCAGCGGTCACAGACCTTTAGTCAGTTTCTTCTTTGATTTTGTAGGGCTCTTTACTTGAGGTTTTTGTGGGTTCAGTTTTTGAGGGGCCACCCCGTAGTAGAGAGAGGTCGCACTGAGATTAGAGAGATCAAGATTTCCTTGAAGGGTCTTGACTTGCGGGCCGGAAGTCCAGCCAGTACGGATCAGTTCTAGATTCTAGACATGACGACATGTGTGATGCGCACCGCGGTTTAAGACGTCGCTGATGGATCCCGAAGAGACTCTGGTGGCCAAGATGTGAAGCAGAAACCAAGACAGAAGCGATCTCAGGACGCAGTCTAGGACAGGTCTTCGGAATGTTTCATGGCCCATATGGCCCGAGGAGAAACTGCTTGTCAGAATTGGTCCATGGAAGTTCAAAGGACCAGAATCCAATACAGGGCAAGGGAGCCCAATCGAGGAGGTCCAATCTGAGGTTACTATGATACCGCGTGTCACGATGGTTTTTGACACACCTCGCCGATCAAATTCGGGAGGTAACTGGCACATTCCCAAACACAATGATAGGATATATTTTTATATATTATATAGATGATAGGATATATTTTGATTATAGTGTGTGTATATTAATATGTGTATATTGAAACACAAATATATACTCTGCTTCAGGCTGACCACCTTTCCGTTTTTTCTTTTTGTGTCTAGGACGCAGTCAGACTCAGAGATGATGCAGGACACTGGGAGCCCTCGGGGGACGGTGTGGGAACTCGAACTGCCTTGGTCACCGTGGAGAAGCGCAAAGCACACACGCAGCATTTGCAGCAATTGCTGATTTGCTCATTCTGCGAGTGTTTATAATTATAGAGGATAGTTGCACTCCGATTATATTCATGGGTTTGAACCCATCAAAAATACCATCGCCAGGATGTAAATACTTTGCAGCAGAACCTATCACAGAAGACCTATGAGCTTGTAACTCGGCACAACAAGAGGTGCCTCCCTGGATTGCGAGGCGAGCCCAGTTCAAACTGTGCACCAGAGCTCATCTATCCCTCTCAGGTAAGTCTTTTTGTTCCAAGGGCCATCCCACAAGGATACTTTAGGACTCTAGGATACGTGTATGTCGCGAATGGACGCACAAAACCTTTGTGTTTGTGTGTTGGCGCCCCTCTGTTGTCGATGTTTGCAGCTGCCCAGGTGGTCGCACCGCGCCGAGGAACCTCGGTGGGGTGCGACCACCTTCCTGTTTTCCATGGAGCCAAGGAAGCTTTGAAGAAGTCCTACTCACAGGTGTGGATGTGGGAGGGACTTTTTGATGAAGCAGAATGATTTGGCTGAGAAAAGACAGGGAATTCGACACATTTGCGACCGGACCGCCGCGCTGTGGCAAACGCAGACCCTGCGAGTCAGCAGGTTCCAGCAACGGTAGGTTTGAGCACAAAAACGGGAGAGGCCGGGCGGAACTTGGCTGACCTCCTGCGTTTGTTCATTCGCAGGTGGAACGCAGCTGAGATTGTAGCTGCTCCCAGCCATCAATGGCCTTTGGGAATTGTTCAGTTGAATTTGAATGTCTTTCGAATCTCTTTGTGTCATTTGTTTGATTGTTTTGCACACGGTCTTTTGCTCAACAGGCACATCAGCACCTGCAGAGTTCTTTGATCCAAATGCAGCTGGCAGCTCAGGGGTTTTCTGCTATCTCATCAACTCAGCAGTATGACCTGGGATCGCCGCAAAAACCACCTGACAGAAGGCAGGGGGGAACCATCCCAGGGAAATCCCATGGTATGGTAGGCCAACCTTTGTTTGTATTCCTTGTTGAAAGGAAGGCACTCCAGTATTTTCCAAACCTACATAGATCGACATAGTCTAGGCAACTGTTGGGCTTCGCACTTCGAATTGATGGAGGGTTCACACGAGCAAAGACGTTTATTAATTCTTTATATATTTAAAGTAGTCTACGGCATGCTCTATTTGTTTGTCCAACATCAGTATCCGCTGGTAAACGAGATAGGGCCTCCACATAAACGAGATACTTTTTTTGCTGGCCCTGAACAGTAGTCTGAACAAGATACTGTGACATGACCTCCTACTTTAAGTAGTCTAAACGAGAGTTGGAGGCCATCGCCATTAGGTTGGAGGCCATCGCTAGTAACTCGTGTATTTGAGTTTAGTAATGAATCAATGAGAAGGAACCCTTTCTTCCATTTGCTGCGCCCTCCCCGTGCCCTCCCCCCAAACAAAAAGAATCCTGTGGAACATTGAACATTTCGACCAAATAGTCTATCTATGCCTAGCTGCCCAGCTGCATCATCCCTTCACCCCTCAGGAACCATTTGCAGGTCTCCAAGGCTGAGGCGGAAGTGTTTCGTGGGATTTTCAGGGTCCGAAGGTTGGTGAAAACAATGACGGTATTGGACCATGTTGAATGGTGCAAACGGGCTGTTCAATGCTGTTGAATGGTGTATACTACCAAAGTGGAAAGTCTAGGAAAGGCTCGAAGGGAGCCCCAATTGGACCTGAGTTTTCTGAGACTCGTCAGGCCTTTCACCACTTCCATTTTGCCTGACGAGTCCGCCATTCACACCGTCCGCCAGGTGAGCACTGCCAAAACCACTTGCGAGCGGGTGCGGTGTTTGCGGTGTTTGCCGTCCTCCCAAACGACGGCGTCAGTCCCCCCCGGACCGTCGGCCGGCCGGTCGGCCAAGACCGTTGACCATGGGACCAATGCAGGCTGTAGCGAACCCCGAAGCCAAATGGATTGATGATGTGATTCACTATTGGACATTGTATGACATTGTGCACCCAGCTATTTGGGGTCTTCTTTTTCTTCTCGATGGGGACCATGTCAGCTGTGCCCCCCTAATTTGGAGACACCCAAGATCGAAGACAAATCCCGTTCATCATTTCTCGCACGGCATTGTGGCCAATGTTTATGGGAATCTCCAAACCTGGCTGCAAGGTTTTTATAGAGTCCTTGATCGTTCGACGGGACAGAACCTTGTGCCTACCAAGTAGGCAATGCATGAGCATGGGCGTGTTCTGGGCAGCTTCAAGCCATCAAACGGGCACTCAGGGGAATTGATCAGACCGTATGCATACTGCAGCCACCATGAAGAATCCTTTTTGAGCATTTTTGTGTGCTTAGCTCAGCCAAGTCAGCTACATTAATATAGATGTGTTCAGATTTGCTTGGAAAAAGAGTGCATCTTCCTGTCTTTGCAGGCAAGCTGCTGGATCAAGTGGTTTGTTTCTTTTCACAGCAACCTGATAGACGGGCCTTTGGCCGCTGGGGAAATGACAGCTGAAACATCAACATGAAAATCAACATGAAAGACCCAGGGGTTCTACAACGCCAAACTTCAAAACCTCAGGAGTGGCACTGTCTTTTGGAACATTTATGTTCATGATCTTGATCATTCTCAAACCAGGCAGATTCAATTCGCATCTTGATCGATTGGCGTTGTACGAGCTGTACGAGTTAGGAGTTATACACAGTTTTTGGTTTCGGTCTTTGGCTGAGAAACGAACCCAGGTTCCTGCGCCACGACGATCGCCGCGGTGCCGAGAACACAAAACCCTTGAATTCAGAGCTGGACGGAACATCCCTGCTTTGATCCCGATCGAACAGTGGTATCCTTTTGAACAATGGCATCCTTTTGAACCCACTCTACCCGACTCTACCCCTACTTGGAGCAGATTCTCTTCGGATTTCTGGCTTGAACGGTAGCTTCGCTTTGAAGCGCCATGGTGAAAGTCCGGAAGAAGGGCAAGCGAATTCCCAAGGGCGAGGCCATGACTTCGCTTAAATTTGCCCAGACGACAGACCGCTGGCGGGGGAACTGTTCGGTTCGCCTCCCTACCACTTGCAGATCGGGAGACACACTGGCATGCATGAATTGAAGTGCCTTGTGAGAAGGATTTGTCCATGCTATTCCCATCTTGGAAGAGACGCACATCTGGGAGTGGGTCAAGACATGTCAAGACTAAGGCCACTATAATGGTAATTGGTTCAAATCAGGAGGCATTGATCTGTTGAATCAGTCAAGAGAAGACCTTCACGATAGACCCAATGGGCCTTATCTCATTGCCTCAGGGGAAACAAGGCCTTAGAGCCAAGAAGGCCAAGAAGAAGAACGCGGAGGCGCCTGTCGGAGGGTCAGAAGGGCGCCAATGCTGAGACCGTCGCCTGAAGGTGATGAAACTAGATGTGTGAAAGCTGAGGTGAAAGAAACAAGACCAATCTGGTTCGCCTGGGTTTCTAGTTTTTGGCCATACGAGCCAGATGCAATGCAGAGTAGTTTGATTCATTGGAGGGTACTATAGGGTATACTAGGATCTTCACAATAACTTAACGAAAGTCTTAACGAAACATTCTGAATCGAGCGACATATCCAGTCTTTTGAGACTTCAGAGTGGGTCTCCACTCGCAAGCCTCGATTCAACCGCCCTCTCGAAAGCGAGGCGGACATGTGATGTCATTTGTTCTGAGACAGTGAAGACAGGTCAGGTACTTGCTCCTTTCAAACTCCAGGGCGGTGTGTCTCGAAATGAGGCGAACCGAACACTCAAGCACATGAGGAGTACAGACGATATCTAAATCATGCATCTACTCAGCGACACACCACACATCGCCAGGTTCAACCCCTTCCCTTTCGGAGATCCTGGGGGCACAACTGAGTTGGTGAAATGACATGCGTTGGTTGTGTTGGTCTCCCAATGGTCGGCCTCCCCACTATCCAAGGATCACCGACCAAGTCTGCACGAGTGGCTGGAGCAGCGCCCCTGGGCGACCGAGAACGTTTGGCACAGTTGGACCATGCCAGGGCAGAGCATCGAGCTGGGCAGAGTTTTTTGGGGGTTCAGGCTTTCTGCGCTAATTACGCCATTTGGTCAGAACTTGGAACCGGTCTGATTGGTCAAGAATGCCGGCCTATATGACTTTGGCCATCCCAAAGGCCAAATACACCTCCTCCCTGAGCCTCCTGGCACTTAGATCCAGTAGTTCAGCAAACCAATCGGACGTGACAATCATGATAGGACAAGGAAAACCTCAACAAAATTCAGAAAGCAAATTGCGAACCAGCCGAGCTGATCATGCATGGCTCAACAATGGCTGAAATCCCAATGACAGAGGATACTACATGAGAAGTCCAACGGGGCAACAGGCCCGGAACCTGATGAACCACTTGAACGCTGATTAGTGTGAGCGCTATCCTGCGTCCAGCTACTAGTAGCTTACCTCCTTAATCCTCCTCAATTAAGTAAGCGCCTACTTAATTAAGTAGTAGGGGGGCACAGTGAGCTAAAAGTAACAATTCAATACGTATGTTTTTTCTCTCCAGGGCGATGGTGACAGCTGAACCCTTTCTGGAGCACCGGTGTCAGGTGCCGAGGGCCTTGGAAATTTGGAACTTCGAGATCTGCCAGGAGCGACTCAGAGAATTCCATTCCTTTCCGCAGAATTGAATCTCGAGTTCTCCACTCTGAATCGATATTGTTCTTGGAACTCACTAAGCTAGTCGTGTCCGATCTTGGAGAAATCATTTCCACTGCTTGCGCAACTCTGGTATTCTTGTAAAGCTTTGTATGTCTTTTGTGCCAAAGGTTCAATGTGCGATGCAGCTTTCTTTGGAAAAAACACCTGCGGTTGTCCGAGGGTGTGCCTCGAGAGCCGACCGTACCCCCCTGAGAACATAATACAAAAAGCAGCGCTTTTGGTTGGAAACGTGTCTTTCTTTTGAGGTTTCTCCATCGCCACAGAACCGTTTCAGCCCAAAAGGCACACAAGTAAAGTGATAGGGGCTGGTCCGGGAGCCTATGGGTCCTACAGCCTATCATAGGCGCTAGGCTAGGGGGTGCCTAGGATAGGGGGTGCTATAGGGCCTATGATAGGCCCCAGCATAGGGGGTCATAGGGCCTATGATAGACAGGGGGTCCCAGGGCCATGGAAGGCCACCGTACTTCCTTGCCCGGCCAGGTCGGTGTTTCGGGTCGGTGGCTTGTTGCACGCGTTCGGTCTACAGTGTTACAGGGCAGAACGTAGGTCCAGTGTCGCGATGTGGGTCTCGAACATTCTGAGACATCACTGCCGCGCCTTCAACAGAGGCGCGCCCCACCAGTGTCGAACGCGGTTGCGTTTGGCGAAGTGTTCCCACACTGGTTTCGGGCCCGAGGATGTGAGGGAGCTTCACAGGCAACCTCGCTGTTTCTTCTGCTCAGCCCACCTAGCTCTGGAGCTTCTAGCTCCGTAGCTTCTGTCAGTAGCTCTGTAATTTGCCGTGGCTGAAGCCTTATGAAGTGATGATTCTTTACTCTTATAAAATGCAAGTTCCAAGGGTTACTTCGTAAACGTAAAGGTCAGTACCTTGCAAAAACTTTTGGATAACAACCTAAGATCTGGAGTAGCGATTTACACAGGTCATTTACTAAACTTCACTAACTCGGAGAGTGAATGACAGTAATAGATTGCAGGTGAACCCACAAATCTCGCTTTAAAGGAATTCAGTTGGCGAGATGTCGGAGGCTGGTCAAAAATGTGTTCCTGGTTCTGCTTTGCTTGGCGTTTGAGTCTTTGTCTTGGTGTCAGCAAGTCCAGGCTGAGCTTGCATTCTCAGAAATGCTCACTTGGATTCATGAGAGGGTGGGTTTGGGCTCTCTTAAAAGAACCCACTCTATAAACGTAAACAATTTCAAACCTTTTCAATTCCTGGAATCCTAGCTCTGAGATGCCCTGAGGACTTCTGTGGCTACCGCTGGAAAACACCACGTAACGATACGTAACGCATCTGGGGCTTGGAACCATGGAAATGCTTGATGCAACCCTAATCTCGTCAGGAGGTCCTGGCCGGGCTTGCAGAGAAACTCTCACTGGGCTGCGCGAGCTTACAGGGAGTGTTTCACACAAAGAGGGCAAAACATCTTTAAGATTCTGCTGCATACCCATTTCATAAACAAAGAAAAAAGCGTTTCAGATCCTGGAATCCTAGCTCTGAGGACTTCTGTGGCCTGCCGCTGGAAAACACAGCGCATCTGGGTCTGCTTCCTGCTCTACCTGAGGCTTGGAAACCTGCCCCTTCGCTTTCTTTCCTGGTCAAATGGTTGTTGGGTTTGTAAACACGAAATGCCTGATACAATGAATCTTTGTCTTGGGGTCAGGACGCCCTGGCTGAGCTTGCAGTCACAGAAACTCTCACTGGGTCTTGCAAGCTTGCAGGGAGTGTTTTGGGCTTCTAAAATGATAATACCACACAAAGACAACGATTTTATAGACAAACAAACACATACAAGCGTTTCAGGTCCTGGAGTCCTAGCTCTGCGGACTTCTGTGGCCTGCCACTGGAAAACACAGCGCATCTGGGCCTGCTTCCTGCTCTGCCTCAGGCTTGCAAACCTGCCCCTTCGCTTTCTTACCTGGTCAAGTGGTTGTTGGGTTTGTCAAATTGCAGAACCGAGGAGTTTAAATTGTGTTTTGATTTGATTTCTTGAAGTCACTAATTTTCATTTTATCAAAGCTACAGATGTGGCATCTTACGGACATTCCCGATTCGCAACTTTCATTTCATAACCCCCTGGATGTAGATTTAATTTCTATATCTTAACCTATCATGACCTTTTCTGGTCATTTTATCAACTAGTTGGTTATTTACTGAACCAAACCATCCTTTCCCGCAGCTTGCTGTGGATGCGTGGACGCTCGAGGTAGGATCTCCTCGGCGCGCGTGCGCCCATCCGCCACAACGGGTGTTGCGCTATGCAGCGCCGCGGGTGGGAATCGAGCGGTGCTGATCGTCTTGCAGCATGGCGCGTGAAGGTCAATAGTGAGATGCTCGACGTCTGCACTCGAGTTGCTCGGAGCTCGACTCCATGATGGCGGGCGCACGCTCCGCTGAGGAGGGCGAGATAGGGGACGGCAAGGACTTGCACCACCTGGCCGCGGGGATGCGGCGTGCAGCACGGTGTGGAGTTGCTGCTGGTGGAGGCGCGGCGCGCCGGCGCGGAGCCACGCGAGCTTTTCTCGCAAAGCTTTGGACCAAAACGGCGGCTGCGCAACGAATGCTGTGGCACTTGCCTGCAGCAGGGGGCTTACACAAGCGCCACTGTGACGTCGCTTGAGCGGGTCTAGCCAGCGGCAGCGAGCGCCGGCCACTCTCGCCACACCTCCAAGGAGGCGTTGTGCGACGAGCAGCTTTTGGCCTGGCCTCAAGTTGGCCCCTTGACCGGGAAAAAATCTTTTTCAAAGCCCCGTCATGCTACCGGAGCATGGATTCGGCACGCCGAGGCGGGCGCTCGGATGCGTTTGGATTTCTGACGTCCAAGCTGACTGGGTGGGGCTTCCTGTCAAATGTGTGGGATGGGGATTTCTTGCACAGAGCTCTACTTTATACTTGCACAGATGCGGGCCGGGGATTCGAGCGCCCTGCTGCCACATGTGGTGGCATCTTTCGAGAGTCAAGATGAGATTTTTGTGATTGCTTTTCGTTCTGGCGACTTTGGAAAGTCTTGGCATACTTGGCGGCCGGCAATGTCCGGTATGAGTTTTGGATTAACTCGACGTCGTGTGAAAAGCGACTGCGTGCTGCGGGTGGTCGGGGGTGTGGTGCGTCGTCGTTCGCTCCGTCTAGTCGCCACTTCCCTTAGGGTCTATGATAGCCCCTAGCCTAGGGCCTATGGTCGGCCTATGGACCCTGCGGACCCTGTAGCCTATGACAGGCCGCGGCCTTGTGCTAGGCTACCCCCCGGGATTTCATTGCCCCAAACAGGGCGCTGCGATTCACTCGTGGACGGGTCATCCAGGCGGTCATCGAGGCCTCTGCCTTACACGAGACGTCCCAGCTGGAAAGGTCCGGTGATTTGGACTTCGGGTTGGAGAGGTCCTGAGAAAACAGACCTGAGTGACGTTCAAAGAAGGACATTTGTTTGAGTCCTGAGAGTACTGACTATGACCGGCTTTTTTGGATCAAAGCAATGTGATCTTCGGGGCTGCCAGGTGATTTTCAGCGTCCCCGAGCAACACTTGCTGAGTGGGCAGAAGGCCTTGGAAGATGAAGTGGTCCATGCTGCACATAAGCGGCTTGAAAAGCTCAATGTCGAGGCGCGGGCAGTGCAGGCAGCGTGCCTTTGTGCTGTGGTACATCGGTTTTGAACATCTAGGGACTTACAGTTTCATATCCACCACCATTGTACCCAAGCATCGTCTCCAAAGTATCGGACCTTTAGAACACAACAAAAAACATGCGAGGCCCAACGCAAGGGTTTTCAGGAGCTGGATCCGAAGTGTCACCATTGCTAGTGTAGTAAAATTTGGAGGATGGTTGCTGGTGACTCACCACACCAGATCTTTTGGTGTTTGACGGTGTTGGAGGTCCTTTTCTCCCGACCTTCTTCAGACATGTTGACGTTGTCGCACCACAAGGATGCAGTAAATGAGACATGTACATTAGAAATGACCAGCTTATGGTTGAGTTGAAAGTCTGTTGGTCTGTGGTTCGTGTGGTTTAGGTTTCATGGGATTACCTAGTAGTGCCTACCTATCCTACGGACCCTGGAAGGAGACTCGATATGTGCATGCACGTATGGCAAGCAGAAGGATCTTACCGATTTGTGGATCTGCCAATGTTGGACCCTGTGATGTCTTGAACTACCTTCACAACAACCTACCCAGCTACCAAGCTACTACCAAGTCCTACCGTCCCAGCTTGAAAATTTTCATATTATACAGTAAACAAGTTTTCTTGATATGTCCTGTTCGAGTTTGATGGGAGTTCCTTCAACGAAATTGGACATGTGACATAGACCATCCGATGTGTCCTTCTCATCGAACAGGAGTCACGCCCAAACATCTGCACCACCTGGGAGGCATTCAGTTGTATTTGGGCATTTATGTTCCATGGTTTTTCTATCCGAGCTGGCGTTTCTTCCGTTTCTTCAGGAGCCTCAAGGCTTTCTCCTGTGCCTTCGCCTTTGCCGCGCTCACGCCTTGCACCACGATTCCTTTCACCCAATGGCGGTGGATGCCGAGCATTCCACGCATGGAGCTCTGGGGTGGCCTGAAGCGTTCCAGCAAATGTTGGTGACTTGGTGACACGTGGACACCTGACAGGGTGGCTGACAGTCATGTAAGGATCAACAGGTTCAAGACCAAGATCCAGTTTTGTTTTTTTGTTTCGACCATCCAGTCTGCGGGATATGCACAATGATCCCAGCATGAATTTCTTTTTTGGGGGTTGTGCGTACTAGTGCGTCCAACTATGTGAGTGAGAGCATACAACCATGTGTTTCAGATTGGTTTTGTGCGCGAAATAACCTACGGTACACAACAAGAAGGGATCCCTTCCCCGTTTGGTTGTGGATGTCCATGACTGCGCGCGCAGTCTTGGCTTTCCGGTGGATAGTCATGGTCGTGAGGGACCTGGTCTGAGCCTCTTTAGCAACCCCCGTAGCACGTTGCATTTTCGAGCACGTTCGTTTGAGGCAAGCACCAGCCTGAAAGAGGATATGGAAAAGGCAGAGGAGCAGCTGAGGAACTGGGAGGCAGCAAAGCAAGCGTTGCAGGAGCTGGATCTGAAGTGTCACTGATCTTTTCTTATAGTCTTGGAGGATGCAACTTCTGGAGAATGGCAGTTCTTCTAAATTCTACTGTAGTCATTATGAAGTATTTTTACCTGTCTCTCCATTTACTGAGAAGCAATGCTAAGTCGCAGTGTGGTTTTAGCAGAATGGGACTTGCCGTCTTTGTTTGGTTTCCTACGGACATGGACCGCCCAAAACTTTGGAGGCACTCTCATCTCCCAGGAATGCAATTATGGCAAGGTCCAGCAAAAGAAGCCCAACCCAATGAAAGAGGCTCCCTTTCGGAGGCATGGCCGAAAACCCGAGCATGGAGGGAGATTCGTCTTGGCAGCTTGATTTCATCTGCCCTAGGTGATTTGAAAAGCCTCAGATGGGCACGAGACTTCTGGTGGGCTTCTGCTCCTGCTGACACGATACTGCCGTGGCCCCTCAACTCAGTTGGCTGGCTTTGCAGAGGCTTTGCTGAGGCTACAGCCTTCGCCCGCTTGGATATGTAGAGATCCCCTAGTGCTGATGAGTTTTGGACCACCTATGCTGGAGACCATCACTGTACGGATGATGTTGCCCCTGGGAGCCACATGCTCGCACGAAAAGAGGAGAAGAAGCACAACATAGAGCACATCCAACATGTCCAGGAAACACGCTGGAGGAATCTCCCAGTCAAAGTGAGCACGAATCGGAGTGGTCCAGAAACCAGAGAATCAGAGAAAAGAGCTTCAGAGGTGCTGCAAACCGAACCCAGAACCGAGAACATCCGAGAAGTAGGAACTGGTGATTTTGAAATGATAGGCTTGTGATGGATTGTGTACATGCAGTGAGAATCAACAGTAATTAATTACGATTGTGCATCAAGAGTATGTGACTATAGATGATGGGCTTTGTATGGCATTGTAGCTCGAGTTTGGACTATTGGAATATTTGCACGAAGCTTTGGCTGAGAGGTCACCTTGGCAGGCAAGCCTGAATTGTTAATGGTTCTAATTACTTATAATGCATTACCATGCTGTATAATGGTTATACAGACAGCTTCTTTAAAGCTGTTGCGCATTGTTGCGCCCTTAGAACTAGTAGACCCAGCCTCCGAGCCTGAGCTAAGTCCAGAGCTGGTTTTCACAGTTTTCACAAGACCCACCGACACCATCCGACACCCACGGCGAGTCCCAGGTATCACCTGCTGGTGAGTAGCTCTCCAGCCAACATTTCAATGGCAGAGCACTACCGACTTGTGGCATTGAAAGATCTGAAGGCCGGTCGACCTCGACTTCCATGACCGGCAAAAAGCAACATATTGTTTGTGAGTTTTTTTCTTCACCAAAACGAGCCGCTGTGGGCCACCGCAAATCGTTTTCTCTTTTTGTTTCACGACGAAGTCAAGGTGGCCATGGATGACCATGGGTGACCGGTGACCATGAAGAAGCATCATTCAACGTCAACAAATCTGCAGATTTGATACATTTGCCAAGATGACTTGGCCAGGAAGGGTTTCTTTGCCACATATCTCCACAGAGGTCATGTATGAGGCTGTATGAGGCTCAAAGCACTTTCAAACACGGCCCAGCAAAACATGTGGGGTCCTCCAAAGGGATCCTTTTGCGTTCCTAGTTGGCAACAAGCTGCCCCTGTGCTTCAAAGGTGCTAGCCTTTTTCGAGTTCAACTGTAACTTGTGAAGCTCACCTCCTGTTCCGGAAAGGCTGGCACTCCGTTGTCCTTGGGTGCTGGGATCTACAACAACGCTCAACTCTTGCCCCTTGACCTTGAAAATAGCCCGTCATCAATCGATTGATGAATCCACAAAAATACACAACGGGTTTGCAGGAACCTGGTTTTTGCGCAGAAGCCTGACTATATACTGTAATCGTTTGCCTGCATTCCCATCTTTGCAGAAGAGAGTAGAGTATAGGACTGCGGTTCTTGGTTCCGCCAATTCTCTAAGATGAAAGATCTTGCAGAAGGTCCGCATGTTTTCGGGTCCTTGCCTCCAAAAGGGTAAAATTGGGCCAGGCAGAAACTTGACCTGCCCCAAGGCTTTGTTGGATGGGATTGATGATTGGGGAGTCTCTGAAAATGAGGGAACAGAACAAGCAAAGACTTCCAAAGACCACGGGTAAAGACAGAAACCCTCATTTGGACGCATCCCCAATTGGATGCGGTTCGAAAATGACGATATCCTTGAGAAAGTGTCGCAGCTTGACCCAATGTTGAAGCACCCAGCAAACAAAAAGGCATTTTGTAGCGGTGTTCCTTGCCTTTGGTCCAGTCCCCGGGCGCCGCGTCGCACCGCGGTCGCGGTCGCCGTCGCGGCCCGAGGCTCAGGCATGGCGTGGCTGTCTCCGAAAATCCCAACGAAGAGATCCAGCTCAGGCTGTCAGAAGGCAGCCGAGACGGCTGCAACTCGGTCTCGCCTTTTGATTTTTCAGGTTCAGAGCAGGAAGAAACTGGGACGTGTCATGTGCACCAAATGTGTAACTCGTTGCAGTGGGATCCTTTTGTTGAGCTTGATGAATCTTCGGGCAAGTTTGGTTTGAGCACTCATCGTTTTTGCTGACATCCCTGGTAGACAAAATATTCTGTTCATTTTGATCCATCAACCAGAATCTATTTATTTGTGTTTTTGCCCACACAGCCAATATGATATATGTCAGTTTGCTCAAACCCTTCATTGGCTGAGGGGTGAGTGTAGGGATCCCTACAAAAATACGTTGATATGCAAAGTAGGTAACAAGACAAGCCGCAAGGCAAGAGATGTTAACCTGCTAATCCGCTAGTCCCAGCGAGAAGAGTGGCTTCCAAGGCATTGGCCTCACCCACTTGGGAGTCCCGGCACATGTCGTTGACAAGATCGAGGAAGAGCAAGACACGCAACTGCTTCTTAGCATTGCCCCGCTGAAAGCTAACATGGACCCCGAGAACCACTGGTTCGTAGACTCTACAGTCGGACGACCCGGGTGCCAGGACGCCAGGGTCCATGTTAGTTCACGGGGGGGGTATTAGCAACTCTGATCAGATGCATTGCTCCAAGCTGCATCCCAACGGTCAAGGGCGAGGTGGGTTCCGTCCACGAGCGAATCTTGTGGGAGAGGAGGGTATCAAGATGTATCAACCATCCCATAGGTTCAACCGAGAGCCGCTCCGATTTTCTCCAAAGCGCGAGGCATCAAACGTAATATTGTAGTAACAAGAAGCTAGTAGTAACAAGTGCATCGCTAGTATTAACAAGTGACAAGTGCCTTACTAGTAGTAACAAGAAGCTAGTAGTAACAAGCTTACTAGGATTTCCGGTCCGTCAGTCCGCCGGCAAAAAGGAGCCGTTTCAATGTGGTTCTCTCGAGAGTCTCGCACATCAGAAGAGCCTTGCTGAAGAGCCATGGTCATATAGTAGCGAACATTGTTACTACTAGTAAGGCACCTGTTACTACTAGCGTGGCACTTGTTCCTAGTAGCTTCTTGTTACTACTAGCGTGGCACTTGTTACTACTAGCGTGGCACTTGTTACTACTAGCGTGGCACTTGATTCATGATTGGTCATGTCGTCATCCACCACTCGTCTTCCGTGTTTTCCCGACGCATCGCCCCAAAGGTTCGTGTTGCCAGTGGTCCGTTCTCGTCTTGTTGTCCTTCCTGGCTGAAGGAAGGGAGATGGGCGGTTCCTCTGCTACAAAAAGCACTGAGGTTTGTTTCGATCCTGAAGAAGACGCTTGAAAGGAGACGGTCTTTGAAGGAAAGAGCCTTGGCCGCCCCAGCGTTAGCTCACTGGGGCTGAAGCTGGAAGATTCCCATCCCTTCCATCATAGTTAGGATTCGGAAATTAACGGCCCAAATCCCTGCAAGTGAAAGTCTTTGGTCTGAAGAACATGAGCAGCTTCTTGCAGCCATTGAGCATGTGATTTTGATTGATCTTTTGTCAGGTTTGAAGCTTCTACCCAAAGCCTTGAACTTTACAGTTTGCAAAGGCTGGGTGGATCGTGGTGGATCGTGGCTGGGTGCATTTTGCCTGACCTGGTCAGAACAGCCCGTGCCATCTTGTTCTTCGGCCGGGCGCGACATGTTCGAATATGTTCGAATCAGCGTTGGTCAGCAACATCAGACTTGAATCTGTTTGACCTGGTTGTGTTTATGGTTTCCTGCGGCATTGACATACCATGACATACTGATTGTATATACAAGTATAAGTATATGCCTAGACCTCACCCTGTGCCCTAAGATGGCGGTTCCTTCATGTGCATGACTGCTGATTGATGCAAAAGATCCTTCCTGCTCGAAAATGGAATGTTGAAGATCACCAATGAACAAAGATGTACATACAGACGGCCATGCAACAATCTGATGGCCGTGCATTGAACGATTTTTGCGCGTTCGTGCTTGACAAAGTCTGCCTTCGTTTGTTCCATGTCATCTCCTGAAAAACGGTTCCTTTATGTTCCTTTGAGATTCTTATGGTGACACATGTGCCTTTAACCACAACGGATTGGAGCAATTACAGAAGGTTGGATCCAGAACTCCAGGTTGAAAGCTGTGGAGCAACGATGCTGACTGCAGAGCGAACTTACGAGAAACCGGAACCCTAGTGGGCCTAGAACCAAACCAACGCATATCAAAGCTACCAGGTACCATAGATGCCATAGATCACACCAGGTTGTTGCTGGAGTTCCAGCATTGACTGAGTGTACCAGATCATAGAAAGAAAAGGATGTTACACCAGAAAGTTTCTGCCATGTCGCAGTTGATATTTTGCGGCATTTACACTGTTTTTCACGTGCATAATCGCAATAATTGATGTTCTGCAGTTTGGACCATGCAAGGCGCTTCTATATCTACAATGTTTGCCTGCTGTTCACGAATGATCCTGTTGGTCGGAGTGAATGTGCATGGAGATATCGCATTTCGGATGTCGATGTGCGTTCCTACCTTCATTCCCGTTAATATACACTGACATAGTCTTAGTAGTGGCTTAATCTGGCTGATCAAGCATGTTTTCTTTTATAAGTTGACTTGGCAGACATGTATGTCGCCATCACAAAGGGCAAAACTACGGGTAAGCTGAGCAATTATATATTGATCCGTATCGTATGGCAGCTTACATGAGAAGCAACAACTATGGACTGATTGGGGGTCTGATTGTGTTTGGTACATTTGCTGGGTTGCTCAGCCAAAAGGTCTCCTTTTTGATCTATATAACATCAAAGGTTCCTATGAACACTTCAACAGAAAGGCATAGTAACACATAGATGTTCAACAACTATATATATATATAATAGATACTTAGGACACTGTAGATTCCAGACAACAATGGCGCATACCTCTATACTTTAGGTGAACGGACCATATTTTTTGTGGTTTGGATTCCAAACGAGCCGGAACATGGCCTATCTGTGCACTGTTCACTAAATGTGAGGCTATATGTTTACATTTTACATTGTAACAAATGCATTCTGAATCTCTGAAGACAGCGGTTCCGTTTTTAAAACATGGTTTTGATTTTCTTCCGTGTCTCCTCTGGTCCTTGGACCTGGGGTGAACAGAAGTGAAGGCCCCCTTCAGCGCCGGCGGAAAGAATACCTGGAGACCTTCCTCGAAGGCGGGTGGTTCATCACCCTCTTTCGGTATCCTTAACGCCACCCATGAATTGGAGGGCGTTCGTTGCGCTGCGTTGCTTTTGGTGGGGGCTCTCTCCAAGGTGTGGTCTGAGGTTTTTACACCTGATCACCCGGACGGTTGCCACGGTGAGCTTGCGGCTCAAGATGAAACGTTTCTGTGCCCACCAACCGTTTTGTTGTTCTTGTCCCACCAACCGTTTTGGCTTCTCCTCCAGGCCAATTGGCGATTGTTCAAAGCACCCTGGAACAGATGCAGGTGCATGGAGGGCACGGGTACTGGTGTACGATGGACTGACAAAGTCACACTTAGTATATCCTGATGATGAACACTTTTTGGCACCCACCGTGTTTTCTTTGTTGCTTTCTTGACGAAGTCCTGGTTAATCCACAACACAAAGCTCCATAGCATGATTGTCACCACAAAAGCATGTTGAACAGTTGCATTTTGAACGACATGCACATGGCTCTTGGGAGGATGCAGATGCGGCGGATGGGGCGGAGGCCGTGCGGACCCAAGGAAAAATGGTGGTGGAACCAATGACAAATGATTGATCAAGAGTGAGGAGGGATGCTTAGTGCGTAATGGTATTTGGGCTGCCTCAAAATGATTCATTTGTTGATTTTGCCAAAATCTGGTCAAGGTTCCTTTGGTTGGAGACTTTGAAATTTGCTGCAACGCTTCTCCCGCTCGAGTCAGTCTCTAAAATCAATTTGAGGACGAAGCCGGAGAGGATCAGCAAGAGGATGTGGAAGAAGAAGACGAGCAGGAGGACTGGACATTTGAAGACGTTTTAGCGATTCCTTTTCAAGAAGCGCGGGACAAATAACGATCAAATTGGGAAGTTGAGAGAGACAGTACTCACAGGTACATACAAAGGTACATAGAAGACATTAAGTATCTCTTGGCCACTGCAGACCAAGTGATAAATGATAAACACTATGTAGATCTGCTTCAATTTATCAGCAGACATTCCCGCTCATGGCAAACATCCCCACATCGCAGGTGATCCGCCCTCGAAAACGCCGACGACGACGCTGAAAAGGGAGCGCAGCGGAAGCAGACAGTTCAAGAGTTTCAACACCCTTCACATGAGAATGGCTGACAAATACGATCCACCACGAGCAAGCCATCGCATTGAACAATCAACACCTGCCTTTTTCATCCCTTTTTTCCCAATCAATTTTTGTTTGTGTGAACTGTGAACCATCGCATCTTGCGAGTAGGACCTGCAGGACCCCCTGCAAACTCCCACCAACCTCGGACACGATGCTCGATGCTTCCAAGTGAGTGGCGTACCGTACATCCTGTTTGTTGTCCCTCCATTGTACTGTAAGGAGGTCGCAAAGGTGAAAGACCATATAGTGACCTCAAAAACGTTGGCCCAGGGCCGAAAGATTAGACACTTTCCAGGTCAAAAAGCCGCAGCAAAAGGATACCCCGACAGCCTTTGTGCTCCATGGTTGAAGTCTACAGCCTTTGACGGATGTCATGGGACCACTGACAGCAGGTCCATCGTGACAGTGGGCAGCGCTTTGCGCAGATCGAGCAGAATCTCAAGTCGATGACGGACAGAGTGTTCATCCGAGAGTGCGTGGTGTTCGGATGTTCCCCATCTTGGGCCCGGGCAGCGGCGGGATGGATCGGAGGGGCGACTCTGGCACTCAGCATCTCCCATAAAATAACCTTGATCGAAAGGATGGGAAGGGGCTTTCCCGCGGATTTCGACGCAACCAACCAGACTTGTCGTTCTTTTGATTCTCAGGAGGATTACAATCGCGGCACCGCGGAGGTTCGCACCCAGATGCGACAGCCCCCTGGCAGTTGTGCCGTGGTGGCCGGAGGTGGCGCTAGAAATGCCAAGTCTGAAATAAGCCAATCTGGTTCAAGCATTGCGAACGGGGACACTGTATATGACTAGTTGGCGCTGAAATTAATTAGATCTTCCCCATCCCATGCTGATCCTTTTTGGTCATCAACATGCTTGATTGTGGGCGGAAGGCAGCTTCATGCAGCTTCACACTCTTGAACCAGGGTGTGAACAAGTGAATAACCGGGATACGCCTTGAGTGCTCCAGATCGAAATGGCACGTGTGCTGTGAGATGACCTCAGGGTTCACAGTTACCAGCTCACCAAGTCTTTGTTCAGGAAGAATCCTTATAGGTTTGGACAAGATCTATGCTTCGGGTCGATTTCTTGGTTTGGAATGGAAAGGGAGTTGGGCGGCCCCCCATGACCATCCCGGAACTCACCTGTACTCACACCCTCCAAAAAAGGGTCATTCAATTTGTAACCCCCCCCAATGTCAGAACAACGCGACCGTCCATCGCGCTCGACCACTTCTTCTTGTTCGGCTCCCAGCCACTGACAGACTCCGTGAGACTCGGAGCTCAGGCGAGTCGTAGCTGGAAAGCTGGACAGGATGTGGAACGGACACTTGGACAAGACTTGGCACCCAAAGAGCAACTTCCAAACTGGACTCAGATCCATTGAGAAGCGTTTCCCTCGAAAGCGTGGCAAGCAACCACCTGCATTCGCCATGGCGGACTCCGAGATTCCGAGCAGCAGCTCCTCTCCCTCGATGGTGCGGCACGAAAGTGACGGAGAGCGCTTGGAGCGATGCGGTCTTTTTCTACGGTCTTGTCGGTCTTGTCTTAAGAAATCTGGTGGTGAATTTCTGGAACCTGTTGGCTCACAGCTTGGCCGCTTTTGGTTTTTGTGGTTCCTGACCCAGTCCATGAGGTCCCCCAGTGATTTGATAGTGCGAAACTGTACGAATCATCGTGTTGAAAACGCAGCAATAGCGGGTGCTTGTACAACAAGGTAGGTGTTGCTGTGCGACAGCAGAGATCCTTCAATGGACAGTGCCTGTAGCTAGGCAGCTCGTGAGTCCAGTTGGCGTGAGTGGCCGGGGTCCTGAGATAACAAAAGGCTACAGGGCATTCAAGGATGCTTTTGCTGACAAAGACACACAGAAAAAAACAGCACAGATGTTACGTTGGGTTATTTTGGTGCATTTCCCTTGACCCAAGGTTCTTTTGGAACTGTGTAGAGCTGCACACTTTCTTCAGAGAAAAAGAACACTCACGTACAGAAAGAGGCCTCGGCATCAGAACCAATGGCCGTTTTTGATCATCCATGTTTGGTAGATATTTGGTAGCTAGTAGTAACAAGAAGCTACTAGGAACAAGTGCATCGCTACTAGTA